ATACTCTAAAAGAATTGACACGTATTCGTCTCGAACCAGGGCCATGCCATATCTCAGCTACGGGTTGTACGCATGTGTATTGGGCGGCCTGGACCATGCCATAGTAATTTTTTAATCAAAAAAGTATAAATTTTAATTTATTGATTGATAAGTAGGCCTATCTATCAGTTAATAAGTATCAAATCAAAATTGCTGATTTTCCCTTGCGTTTGTCCTACCACCCTGACCGGGACTGTTGTAGGGCCTGAGTAGAACCCATGTAGAAACGTACAGTACCTTATTCTAATATTGACCCTCCACACAAAGTTGATGGCCCTGATTTCTATTGCTCTGTTGAGTACTTATCACCTGGTAGATCTGTCCATATGATGGGAATACCTACATACATGGTCCTCCTGCCATTAATAAATCAAAAATTTACTAAATAATAATACTAAAAAATATACTAGCAGTCTGTTATTTGAAAATCTAACGTATTCACCTAGCTTAATTCATAAGACATTTGATAGGTTTACTAAATAATGCATAGCATATTGTACCTTGTGCCCCTGTGTATTCATAACACGTTAATTTATTTAGGCTTCATCTTTTTATAGGCTATGTATTTCACAGTCAACTCGTATAAATATAATAGGCGCACATTCATTTTTATTCATATTGCATTATATACGGTAATATAATTTTGTTTCTGTTTCTTGCATTTTCATTTATTTATGGAGGAATATGCATACTGTATCCTGTGTATACATAACACATGTTTTATTTAATTAGCATGCTGTCATTATTTTATAGCAAAATGCTAGGTTTTTTTAAATATAGTTTTAATCTTTACTAAAATGGCTGGTCTGTTTCTGAGATAAACAGAGTAAATTTTAAACAGTGATTTTTATTTTGACTTTTTACTACTTTGCTATTTTAAATTGTTAATATCTTAACGTATTTCTCGTCATTGCCAAGTTGTTTTGTCGTGTGATTATATCCTTCTTAACCAAGACTGTTGCAAAGGAAAAACAAATTCATATTTTAAAATGGACAATAAAGTGTTCTTTAATCTAGAATCATTTTTTAGGTATTTCACAACATCTGTCAACTTGTATAAATATAATAGACTTATAGTCATTGTTATTCATATTGCATTATATAATGTGTTCGTGTTTCTTGCACTTTATTTATTCATTTATTGAGGAATAAGCATCTTATTTCATATAATTACGGAATTGATAAGAAATTTTGAACAATTTATTTATATAATTTTTGCAATACACTGTGTTTCATATTATTTTAAAAATTAATTGTGATTTGGTCATTATTTTTCTAGATATAGCATTCTTAAACTGTGTGATGACTGCACTCTCGAAAAAGGGCCCATCGGAACCTAGTTTCACCACTGGGAAGTGGCAGGTCCCAGCCGGCTCCCTCCAAATTTGAATGTGCAAGTTATGTTTGATTGCGTCAGAGAAAGTAGAATTTGGCTTACAAACGTTATTTAGTTGTAAATTATTGGTCCGGCCAAAACCGGACCAGCCTGACCGCTTCCGACGCCCTTGATTTAGCAAAATACGTCTACTTTTCGTTTGAAAAAAGAAAGAAGTGTATTATGTTACAGTAGATTATGTTTATTATTAGGGCCAATGGCCCTTGTACTTGAATAAATTCTTTGAATAGGTGAAAGAAAATAAAGTATAGGCAACTGAATTCGAACTTTAATTATAAGTTGGAATGTTGTTAATTTTGTTTAGCTATTTGGAGAGAAATCTTCCGGTAGTGTAATATTACAATTTTATTTAACCTTTCTATTTAAATTGTAAATTGAATTGTGTTTCTAAATTTTTTATATATTGAATTTACTACCTTTTATATGTTGCAGTGTATAAACAAAGATTTTCTGATGTATTTTTTAAATATATTAGACCAATAAAGATTGAATTGAATTGAATAAGAATATTGTCTGCTGATGGCACCAGCGTGATAATGTTCACGAGATAGCAGCTCCATTAATAGTGATGGCGCGTACAGTTTGTGACGAATAATGAATGAATTGATAACATATTTCCGGAGATGTTGAAGACTTCTTTACATTTACTGTTATCTATTATTATTAATTATGAAAATAATCAGGACACTTTTAAAGTTCAAAATTTTTATAACATAAAGACCGGAGATATATGTCTCTTTGATTACGTCAATTGTCACGAATGCATCCTTACACTCATGGCGAGAAAAATAAATAAGGTTGCTACCAAAAGTTGAGCTTATCTATGAAATTGCACAGCATCTTAATTTATAGGTTATACTTTATCAATATATTTTTAAAGATGTTTATGTGAGACTTTAAGAAGAAATAATCCAACGTCGCGTTTAGTTTCAATAAAAATAACAAAAAATAAACACTAAAAGAAGATGGTTGCATGTTGCATTTTATGGACAACTAGCATTAAGTTCAGGTGCTGTCGTTTTTGATAGCATTTTCATATAATTTCTTTATAACAGAAAACTATTTAGAAACCACTAAAATGTGATGCCCCTCACAGCATTGGGGAGGGGCAGTTAAAGTAAAGTTTTACTGTAACTCATTGAGAAACACAAAACCGACTGTGCTTGACGAAAATCGGCTGTGTTTGTTAACCGACTGTGCCTAAAAACCGTATGTTTGAAATCGACTCTTTTTGAAAGGTGCCATTTTAACGTTTCATATAAAACCAAATGCGAAAGTACGTTTAATGTTGCTCACCTGGACAGACAATGCGGAAGTACATAAGTAAACCATTATACCAGGCCCTAGCGTGACTTAATTTGTGGGAGGTTCGTTTCAGTGGAAAGTGGACCCTTATCTCCGATACTCTGGTATGGAGAACATTGTAAATATATCAATTTTTCGATTTTAAATGCAGACCTTCTCCAGTTTTTGGGCGGTTCGTCGTAACCACCTTACCCGCCTACGCTGCCTGTATACCTCAATTCGCTAGTTCTAAAGAGGTCCTCGGTAAATTACTGTGATTGCAGGCCCCGAAATAAGCGTAACTATTATTAATATTATTATTATTATTATTATTATTATTATTATTATTATTATTATTATTATTATTATTATTATTATTATTATTACTATTATTATTATTATTATTATTATTATTATTATTATTATTATTATTATTATTATTATTATTCTATATGTTATTTTTACTCATAATAAACAAAAATTCTTTCTTTATTAAGTTTGTATTTCCAGTGGCAGATTTAAAAAAATGTGTGTGGTGGATAGCCCAGCAAACCCTTAAATATTTGGGGTGGTCTTAGATCCTCCATTTAGGCCCCCTCTATTTTACATTCTTTGGAACGCCATTGATTTTCATAGACATAAATTCGTAAAGTGAACACTAGGTGCAGTATATTACAGCCGATGCCTGTCCAGCACTTGCAATTCTGAGGTTTAGTGCAGTATACGAACAGAAACAGAAACAGAAACACAAATAATACATACTTGTTTTCTGTCTATAAAATCAATCGTACTGATAATTAATTGTTTATTTTGGACAACAAGCGTAAACTTATATCAGTAGCAGTAATGATGTCAAACTTGATAATTCTTGATTATATTGATTACAATTGGTGAACGCATTAACTGAATTTTGAAGTAAATCTCTAATGTCGGGTATTCCTGTGTTACATGGATTCTAAATTGAACAAATCAAGGTTTACAGTAATTAGACATTACATATTTAATATTATGTTTATGTATTACACATTTGAATTATAATTATTAAAAAAAAATCATACATATACTTAATGTTCTACCCCTTGAATATTATTTATTTCCTGCCTTGATTTATGCATTGTGTGTGTGGTTCTATGTTTTCTTAATAACTTAGGACACGGGTGATCATCATACTGATTAACCTGAAAATGCATTATAGACACTAATTACTCCAGGTATAGAATCAATAATATAATTCTAAATCATATTACTGTACATACATTAGAGTTTAATGTTGTTTTAACTGTTTTGTACGGTTGTACTTCCTGCTGGGCATATTCCTTATATTAATCTTGAGTTTATAACTTATTGTGTATCTCTATTTTATGCAGTTTTATATATTTAAAAAAATATATAATAAAAAATGTATATTTAAATCTCTTTAACTTCTATCTATTTTTGGTCAACTTTAATTAACAAAATACAGAACAGTGATCCTTAATCAATGTAGAGAAGCCTGTAAAATTCAGGTAATCGAACATGCAATAATGTGCATTGTAGTGTGTGCTATTTTGTATTCCAGTGTAACAATTGCCAAGTTTGACACTTTGCTAAGTTTTTTTTTAGTAGGCAATGGTATCTTAACTATTTTGTTTGCACATTAAAAGAAAATAAAAACAGTATTCCCCGTTAGGCGACGTATTTGGCCCTTTTGGAAACCCGCCATACCGTGCCCAAAATTATGCAGTTTTTACGCATGCGCTAGAGTTTTGCGTTGTAAAGAAACTCAATCTATGACGAGTATTTCCTCCATGGAATACTAATCACACACAAACTAATTTTCGAGTATCAAGCATTCTCTCAGTCTAAATGGATGAATGTCATATTTACTGATTTAAAGTATAAATATTACATATACTGTATTTATATACAAATAATGTATCTATATTTCAAGCATATGGGCCTACATAATGTTTAGATGTGCAAATAAGAATATACAAATGTATCGAATAAAATCAATATTTAAGAAGACTTTGCGATACTGTGTTTCCTCCATGAAACGGAAAGGTATTCCGATTACAGATATAATAGTGTGCTTCTCATGTGTATACACACATTATATAGGCCCTACCTATTTACAAAACAAAAATATAGTGGTGAACCTGCACAAACCGCAAGCCCAATGCCTCTGAAATGGTTGGCTATATTTAATAAAACGTCATTGATCTTGTTTTGTATCCGTTCATGCGTTCTGCCTAGTGGGTGGAGCTAACAAAGCTTGGAACACTTAATTGTTGTGTTGTCCATTGATCTCTTCAGTAACATCTCGATGGTCTGATACATCTGAAATGCGGTAAGTACCATTTAAAGAACACATGCCTATTATCATTAGTATATCTGTTGCTATTATCGAATCTCCGTTAGAGCCGAAATTTGATCAGTAAACTTTTCATTCAATTAAATTTATTTATTTGACCAAGTTGAAAAAAACCAGTACAATAAAAAACAAGCAGGGCTACAGCCGGCAGAAGAACAAGTTCAATTTATATACCAAAATGTTTGTATAATGTTAGCTTTCAGAAATTGCATCATCTTAAAATTGCTGTTAATTTTGTTTAACTTAACTTTAGTATTGGAAAATGTTCTCTACCTCGAGTGTAAAAACTAATTAGTTCAGTAGAAATGGCACAAGTATCTTACTTCTAAAATAAAATGGTAACTAATTATTTTTTAATCTATAATAGAACTTGAAATTTGTGAATATCATTGACGTTCAATAGGTTAAGATTTTTAAATAACTGATGATCAGAGTGTGCATTGAATTTACTTTTGGCAATAATTCTAACAGCCTTTCTCTGTAAGTTACGTAAGTCTGGCAGTATGGTGACCCCAAAGTAAAATTTCGTAATTCATGAGACAAAATTAATGATAAATATAAATAGTTTTGGCGGAAGAAAATGCTTAGGCCTAAGCTTGTTTGAAATTCCTACTGATTTGGATATTTTCTTTCCAATATTGAAATGACTGCCCTATTTTAAGTGCTTAATGATTATAATACCAAGGAAGTTAATTTCCTCAACAATTTTAATCTGTACCCTCAATTATTAATTTAGGGAGTTCTATCCTTTTTTGTGGTTGATAAAAAATACTTGGCGTTTAGTTTTCTTTATATTTAGAGAAAATGAATTTAAATGTAACCATTGCAACACTTTGCTAAGGTCTAAATTGACATTTTAATGTTTCAAAAACCCTCGCCTCTGAATGAGGAGACTGCCACACCTTGCTAAGGTCTAAATTGACATTGTAATTTTTCAAAAACCCTCGCCTCTGAATGAGGAGACGAGGGTATTGCAATAGCACGCGTCTGTCTGTGTGTGCGCATATCTGCTGTGGTGTGTTTTGTCCTTTCGGTCGCATAATTCAAAAACTACTGAATTGATTGACTTTAAAGTCTTCCACTCTGACTAAGGCCTATTACATGTATCTCGGTCCTCATCGAAGTTGGTTCTGGTCGGAAGTAAAATGTAGATTTAAGAAGGTTATATATTTTTCGGTTGAATTCAATTCAGGCCAGCGGACTAGAAGCAGTCCGATTGAAAATTCAATAGTTTCTTCCTTGTAGCATGATTATATTTTTCCAGAAAGTTTCATTCAGGAGTTGATCAGTTGTTGGGATAGGCCTTTCTGATGGGACGTTTACTGTTAAATGGCCCTCATGTCCACACAATACTCCTGATCGTCACAAAAATTTAATCATTTCATTATTGGACCTTGACAAACCTTTATGCAAAGTTCAATTTTGCTATTGATTAGTTTTTTATATTTAGGTCTGAGACTTTAGAACTTTAAATGCCCCTCAAATTCACATCCGAAATGGGATCGCCACCAGCACTTTATATTTCTTTCTTGTAAATTAAATTTCACGGAAGTTTCATTCAGATCAGTTGATTACTTTTTCAAATATTTGGTCTTGGACGTTTTTTCTTTAAATGGTCCTTATATTCACCCCCTACGCCAGATCGTCACCAAAAGTTAATCTTTGAAGAAATATACCATTAAAACCCAGTCAGAGTACGTCAGAAATTCAAATGACCCTCGAATTTACACCCTAAACTGGACCGTCACCAACACATAACTTTGTAACTGGTTAAAGTTGTATTCAGATCAGTTGACCAGTTCTTAAAATATCTTGTGTAGAGTGTTTTTCCTCAAAATGGATGCGAAATGGCTTTCAAAAATCCAATGAATGAAAGTTTTGGAATCCTTGGGTAGTCAATACAAAATACTAATCTTGAACAATCTGTTGAATTCGAGAAAATAATAAAAACATTTGAAAAGTAAACTTTCCGAGAAATGGCCGATATGTCGATACACCATCTTTGTTTTCATACGCACATTCTAAAAACCCACTTCGAAAAAAAACCGCGTCTATTTTTCCGACTGTAAGTGATTTTTTATTGGTCAATATCGAATTGCCATTTTTCACGAATAATCTCACCTACGAAAACATAAACAAGATGCCAAACGCCTGTTGTAGGTTGTTGCAACAGTTTGTTTGTTCTCTTTCCAAACAAGAATAAAGATATAGAAACGTTTAATAAGTGGGTAAAGTTTGTAAGTACAATGAGGAATAATTACGTTTGGAAACCATGCACAAGTTATACAGCAGCAACTTTTTACCACAGAAGATAAAATGAAATAGGCCTAGGCCTACCCTCTCATGCAGGAGATCAGAAATGGGCAAACGGGGGGTGAACTGAAAGTAATGTTCAGGCTGGAATCGAAAGCTTCTCCTACCACCGGCGCGGCAAGGAAAGGAAAATGATGAAAAGATGAAGTTCAAGAAAGGCCATCCTAAAGTTAAAAAAGAGATCTGATTACCGCTGAAGACGGGACGTTGAAAGTGTAAATGGGCCTAGACCTAGTTTTTGCACAGAAAATCGCTGGGAAATTGGGTGAGCAAAATTAATCTTAGGGCCTAGGTCTAGGGATTACTATTATTATTTACATTCAGTGGCGTAACGCCTATGCTCTATCATGCGGCGGTCCGCAGGGCCCCGGATTCTAGAGGCCCCAAAGGGGCATTACCCAGGTTCCTCGATTTAGCACCCTGACCAAAAAGGACTGATAAATAATAATGTGTCTTTGAAATCGACTGTAAGGCATATATAATATTGTAACGATTACAGAAAGGGGCCCCGTTGGCCCGACGGGGCCCCCCTCTTGGCATAAAGGGGCCCCACCAAATTTGTCAAAAAATGGAAATAAAAAGAAAATTTATATTCACAATTTTAAGTCTGTGAAGTGCCATTTCCGGCCATCTAAAGGTGCCATATTCATAAATTTTCTTACTTCAGCCCCAACTATGGTGGGTATGAGGTGGTAGGCCTATAGACTCTCCAACTGTGAAAGTTCCTCCCTGTCCTCAATTCTCTGGATCCATTTTATATCATTTATTCGTCGTTAAAAACATTTAGAATAACAATGCACATCTAAAATCCCACGATGGAATTGGTGACCTGGACCAAAAAAAAAAGCCTCCAGTTTCAGAAATACACAGGGCCCCTGGCCCCATCGTTACTTCACTGTTTAAATTTAGTAGGGTGGGTCTAGGCCTACGACTAGTTGGATCATAGAGGTATCAGGCGCGGATCCAGGATTTTCCCTGAATCTTATGATCAGCTTTTTATATGGTGTCTGGATCTCTTTGTATTTCTTGGGTCTCATCCGCCACTGCATGGGGGATCCTCTAACGCTCATGTGACGTACGGTAGTTGTTAAAACAAATATTGCTTTTTACGGAATTTCTATAAGAAAAGATAAACGAACAAGTTCTTCATACGTGCCAACCGTTCCGATTTAATCGGGATCGTCCCGATTTCCGATATCAAAAACACCAAAAGATCGGGACGTCCCTATTTTTAGAATTAAAAAAAATTACATTGTAAGAGAAGTATCCACTACTTGCCAGTATGATGAAGGGAAGTCCGTAGTTTCCCGGGTATAATCCATTCCCACCCCCATGAATGCGAAATTGGCCCGATTTGGGGGTGGGGGAGGGTGAGATTATACCCGGGGTAAATAGTTAGCATTGTAGAATTTTTTTGGACTCAGTCCATATATAACAGTATAAGGGCTATGCAATGTTATAATAAGATATGCCAATGCTCATTTTAGAGTTTCTGGTTTACCTTGCTGATGTGTCGTTGATGATACGACAAAATATTCAACATTTATTCTTGTGGATTTATATTACTTTATTAGTCATCTTAATACGCTTTATCTATTACAATGAGAGTGAAAAATCAAGCTATATTTGTTTGACTTATGTTTCTGGTTTATTCAATACGGTTATCTTTTCCACCTTTGGATACTAGCTTAGGTCTATATGAATTTTCATTTTCACAAATAATTTTTATTTCTCAATTAATTTTTGTGGTTATTAGAAAAACCAGGAAAAAGGTGACTACTTCGAATTTGAGCAATTCTACCACCGTTGTTTTCTGCTTGGAATTTATTGTAAATAAAACAAAGAATGTTTCATCCATCATTCATAATCATAGCTCGTAAACAAGTTTTATTTATAAATACTTCTTTAAAAATATGTTGAAGATCCAAATATAAAAAAGACAGGCCTAATTAAAATAAAATATACTTAAAGTACATAAATTATTAATTAAATGTCAGAGTGAGAATTTGTACATGAATTAACCTTTTGGTAGCTTATTCAAAGATCATGGCATTTATTTACAATTGCACCAGATATCTAAGCCAATGTATATTCTATAATTTTAACACCGTGATATTTTATTGATAGAACTGATCAAATATTTGAAGATGTCCCGAAGGTTTTTTAGAAGTTGCTCTTCAAGTGACCGCAGCGGAATCAGCGATGAAGATGGTGCTTCAATGAGTGTTTTTTACATTCCGTCAGTTATTCCAACCCAGGTAAGTTGTGCCTTATCTATTTTAATGTTTAATATATTCTATAATGTTCCTGACAAATATGTTGATTGTTGTTGTTTACGTCTTATGTAAATGTATTACTCGTATAAATAGGAAGACAATTGGATCGCCTCCAAAATTAAGAAGAAAGAGTGTGCACGATATGTTGAAGACCAAAACGAAAAGTAAGTCATAATACCTTTTAGTAAATTGCTTTCAATTATTACACGGATGTTATCAAATTTATTAAAATTTACGGTTTGTTGATTAGACTGTCTGCATTAGACTGTCTCTGTAATTTAGTAGTGATATGATCTCCTGAATATATTTCCTATTATTTTCAAATGTACAGATTTTTTATCGACACCATATAGAAAAAATACAAATGACCAATGGCTAAAACGACTCTTATATTTAGTTATTTATTTATTTGGTATTTTGTACAGATGTCATTGTGGTAGGCGAATGAGTGAACATTTCATAGAAGAGACACAGAGCATCCAATCAGGCAATCAGGCATTAGAGGTAAAGTTTGGAGGTTAATAGATAAACTATATGAAAAAGTAACAGGTAGTGTACAGATGGGTAGAATTGACACAGATACATTTGAGATTCATCAGGGGGTTAAACAAGGCTACGTATTATCACCAATTCTATTTAATATTTTTATTAATTAAATTAAGAAATTACTTGTTTCACATGATTTGGGTGTAAGGTTTGATGGAAATTGGTTAGGTGGTTTATTCTGGGCAGACGATATCGCAGTGCTTGCAAACAATGAATTTGAATTGAACAAACGCTGTATTTAGCCTATACTTTTGCTAATGAATGAAAACTTAATTTTAATTTTAAGAAATCAAATCTATTAGTAATTGGAAAACGTATGAAGGAGAGAAGAAAAAGGAAGGAGAAAAATGGAAATTAGGAAATGGCTATATTAATGAAGCCGATTCATATAATTACTTAGGTGTGCTTATTTCTTGAAATTTAAATGATCACAAGCAATTTGAAAATGTTGTAAAGATTGATTGCTTATATCAAGTCTATTATTGACAATTTCGATAATTTCATAGGGTATATTTTGGTGATATTCTTTGGAGGACAATTGCCCTCCCTTCAATTAATTATGGGTCAGATGTATGGTGTACCACAAATAAACCAGATATAGATAAAATAGAAAAACTTCAATTACAGATGGCTACTTATATTCTAAAGGCCACCACGATCTGTAATTTATGGTGAACTTGGCTGGATACCAATTCAAATCATGCATGATATTTCTCGGGTTAAATATTTTGGTCGCTTAATTAAAATGGAATCATATCATTGACTAAGAATACTTTTTAATGCAACTAAACTTTTTGATTGTGATCCTAAAGAATTTCGTTTCCGTTTATTAAATGTCTTTATGATATCTTTACGAAATGTGAATCAAAGGACCTTCTAGAATACCTATTTAATAATTGTGACAATACATATTGGGTTAATCCTTTAATTGATAAAATAAAAGGAATATTTAATAATGAATGGAAAGAGAATGTTGCTAGTAAGACATCTCTCACAGACTTTGTTCTATTTAAGGACACAATAAAAATTGTAAAAGATTTATTAGATAAATTAGATTTTGAAGGAGTACCCCTAAAATTTAAACTTCGCTGGAACACGTTGCCTTTGGATAACAGATTATCTAGATGGTCTGAAGAAAATGATGGTTTTTGTACACTTTCTAACATTAATCAAGAGGAAACTTTAAGACACTTTCTGTTTATTTGTCTTGCTCTTTCAAACATAAGATTAGAAGAGTTGGACAAGCTTGAACATGCATTAATGAATTATAATAATATCTGGAATGAATTCTCAAACTCTACTATCGACAATAAACTGCATTATGTTTTAGGATCAACAGCTATTCCTCTACCTAATAAAGTAGAGCAGATTTTTGATAAATTTTGTAAACTTTATGCAAAGAGAGCTTGAAAAAAGAGATCAGAAATTAAGCATGTTCAATCCTTATTGTAAATTAAGTTCTGTATTGCTGAACATTGTGTATTATTTTTGTTATTATGTAGCTAGTCTTAATTGTTATTTAGTTAGAGACAGGAGAAAGCTCTTTGAACTTTCTTGGTTTCCAAGGGCTACCTGCTCTCTCATTTCTGTGACCTGCATTTGTTTTTAGTTAAGAGTTCATATGTGGTTTTATGTATATTTTTATATGCATATTTCTCCTTTTTATGTATTTGTTAAGTTAAGTTTGTACCTTTTTATTTATGAACGCACCGATTGCCATTGAGTGCCACCGATCTAAAGGTGTAAGTTCAAATGATTAAAGTTAAAGTAAACACTGGGATAAACGGATAGATGTGCAAGAGTATCTAAATTATTCATTTGGAGAGATAGACTTTTTAATCGAATCGGCATCATCTTCTAAAGTGGCACATTTACGTATTAGATGTCAATGGTAAAATCTAAAAGAGCCTCAAATATTTCATCTGCTTATTTTTAAACAATGATCAGTTAAGTTATCTTATATATCAATGAGACAGTTGAATTGAGAGCCGAAATTTTAAGTCTGCGGTGTGCATTGTGCTTGTGTCTGGAAGCAATATTCTTTATCCACAATGTAACCCATGAGTATTATTATTAAGTATTAATTGTTATAATATAATAATAATATTTTATATTAAATTTTCCAATACAAATTATTAATTGTAACTGTTATCTTTTAGAGAATGTCCCTTATATCAACATGTATATTTTTTTATTTACCATATGTTGTTAACCTTTCTTTTAGTGTGTTCGATTAATATCCATCCTGACAAGTTTGTTGTTTTATTGTTGTTTACGCCTTATGTTAATGTATTTATAGGAAGAAAAATGGATCGCCTCCAGAATTAAGAAGAAAGAGTGCACACGATATGTTGAAGACCAAAACGGAAAGTAAGTCATAATACCTTTTAGGTATTTTGCTTTCAATTATTACACGGATGTTATCAAATTTATTAAAATTTACGGTTTGTTGATTTTATATGCGAAAGTCTACATTAGCCTGTCTCTGTAATTTAGTAGTGATATAATCACCTGAATAGCCTGAATATATTTCCTATTAATTTCAAATGTACAGATTTTTTATCGACACAATATGGAAAAAAATACAAATGACCAATGGCTAAAACGACTCTTCCGAAAAGATGGTGCGCTATTAGAAACATAAGATCAACAGGATAACATTTATTGTTCAATAAAACAACTAGAAGTTTGTTTTCCTGTATAAATACAAAGACACAAAGCAATTACAATTGAAATACAATTTATAAAAAATGTTTGAAAAGGTCATGCTGATATTAGGTGATAAAGTATATATTCCAGCCCTTTTTTTTGGGGGGGGGGGTGATGGAATTAAACCAGTGTTCCAAGAATATCAGGCAAATGGTTGAGCCACACCCACTAACACGCACATATACTTTTACCTACCGTCAACTATTTTAGTCGACTGCCGACTGAGCTACCAAGAAACAGAAATTCATCTAAATCTAATGTAGTATACATATAATAATTTGTATATACCCTTTCCTAACTTTTTTATAATTGTAGTGAGAGTTTCATTTCCAGACGTTTAGAGGTGACATAATGTTCATACAACTAAAAATAAGGAACTAGACAGTTATATAAGAGAAAGTTCCTGGGCGTTAGATCTGCACATATACCACAACGTATCCATTGTCTAATGGTGTGATACTCGCCTTGAAAGCAAGAGGTTGCAGGTTAATCACGCCAGAGACACTTATTCATACAACTGAAAATAAATAACATTTCGTTAAAAAATATCCTATTCGAGCACTGTTATTATTATTCATCTATTTGTATGTATATATCAGTGGCGTAGCAAAGGGGGTATTCAGGTACTAGTGTAATACCTTAAACATTTTAAAAAGTATGTTTTTATGTTCTCCCTATTTCGAAAAATAACGAACACAGCAACATTTAGCATTATTACGCAGATTTTACATTATAAGTGACACGATTGACCTTCCATAGAAAAGGTATTTGTATGACGTAAGTAATACCTAAACAGCTATTTTCACAATGGTACACGCATTTGTGGCGATACACCCACCTCATAATATTGTTTATAATGAATAAGTTATCAATAAGTGCCAGGAATATGGCACATCTAAAATGCATTTATGATTGCTTTGTTTGAAATCTCCGATTGCCAAACGCTGTGTGAAGGCGAATGATAGCTAGGAATTCGAGTCAACTCGGACCCAGTTAACTTTTCCCCACGTCAACTCGACCCCCAAGTCAACATGGCCCAATGTCAATTTGGGCCCAAGAAAACTTTGCCCTAATTCAACTTGGCCCCAAGAAGAAAACTCGGCCCCAATTTACTCTATATTTAGGAAATAATTACCAAAAAATATTTGAATACAAAGACGAACTATGCCAAAATGAGTGTTTAAATCGTTGCTATTGATTTTCTGTTTTTATTGTCATCCACATAACAATAATAACAACTGCATTAATAAAACATTTCTAAATAATATTATTAATAACAATAAAAAGAAGTAATATAGATTACTGCTTTTTATTATTAATAACAATAAAAAGCAGTAATATATATTATTATAATTATGCTTATTTCAAAGCCTACAATCACAGTGATGTAATCAAGTACGTCAGATAACGTCAGGGACTCCAAACCTACCTGAAAAATTGTAACAATCATGTATGTGGGTTATTAAGTTCAGCCGATCCCCAATTTCGAGCAAGCCTCCTCTTAAAAACTAATCCCTAGCTTGCATTACCATCGAAATCATGATAAAGAATGTACTTACTGTACTTCTTTTCGCACGGTACCCGTCATGGATAAATCAATATTTTTATGAATGCTATTCTGCACAAAATAAGTATAAGTGGGCATGTTTTATTTTCTTTTTTTTTCTTTGTCGACGGATGTCGACAAAGTACCCCCCTCGCCTCCCGGGGAAGGGGGATCTCCCAGTTAAAAAGGTCGAATTTCCCGATGAAAGCAAAGTAAGTGGGGCCAAGTTTGTGAAAAAGGGGGTTTCAGAGGGGGGAATTCGATTTTGACGATCTTAGAGAGTAATATATAGATGAGAAAAATCCAGTGATATTTAAGTTCACAAAAGGAAAAACAACGTTTGGAGAAATTATATTATAAAAACAAAACCTCCAAAAGAATATGCCTAATGCATTAGGTCTAGTATAGTAGAGACGACCTAGCCTCCAGGTATTCAACCTATTTAAGGTGGTGTGGCCAGCTCCAATCTTTTGAAACGAGAGGCCAATAATTCTGTACGTCCATTTTTTCAATGTCGGTGACAGATTTTTCGCTGACAGATGTTTTGTTTGTGGAGGACTGGTAGTCATCATGGAAAATCGTTATTTACACCTATACATACATGCATACCCACTTTTAATATGTAAATCATACAATATAAGATTCTGCTTAAAATATACATACAATCCCATAATAAACACATGTTCATCTTTTTATTAAATATTTTAGTACTATAGAAAATAAGAGTTTTTAATAAATAACATAATATAGGATTAAATGGCAATTTTTAAATTGGTACAAATTGAGATAAAAAGAAAGACAAGATACAAGATACAATGTAACTTTATTGCAAATTTAAGAAAAATTGAAACGTACAATATGATATTAAAATGTTTAAAATACACCAGAATATGACGTATTACATTATAAATTAATGGGTATATACAATTTAATAAATGAGGAATTAATCAAGTTGATTATATACAGATTGAATATGTTATTTTATAAAGAGGGCCTACAATTAGACACATAATAATAATAATAATAATAATAATAATAATAATAATAATAATAATAATAATAATAATAATAATAATAATAATAATAATAAGTCCATACTTCTATAGCACATTCAGCAAAAAAGCCTCAATGTGCTTTACAAAAAGAAAAGATAACAAGCAGTAAATAATTTTGACTTAAACTAAAACAGTTCAGAAAAAAAAAAAACATTTGCGCTGTCGGTATAAGTATCCAGAACAGGGCTCCACCCACCGATGTTAAAAACAACGTCGCTGTCACACTGATGCATCATTAACCACCCCAGATGAAATAAGGGAAAACATATCATGCATATTCAGCGTTGTTAAACAGAAAAGTTTTTAGTAGGGTTTTGAAAGACTGGATAGAAACAGCCGATTTGATGTACTGAGGAGGACCATTCCATAGTTTTAGGGCGACAATTGCAAACGAACGAGAGCCATTTAAACTCATCTTCATTTTCGGAAATTCGAGATTGAGTTTAGAAGAAGAGTTTCCGTCTCGGTACGCAAGTGAGAATTAGCTCTGAAATTTACGATGGAGAATGATTATGAATGGACTTGTATGTAAGAAGCAGGATCTTGAAAGCAATTCGCTGATTTAATATAAGGAAATGTACATAAAAACACTTGATCATACAATTAGGAAAACAATTATTCATTAATAAATATTAATTACCGGTATGTACAAAAATGGCACAATATTTTAATAAAATAACTATTGAACAAAGAAAATTATGATAGAGTAACCTGACCGAACCTAAAATATTAGCCGACCCCAAACATTTTTTATTTAGATTTTCACGATACAAGTTCATGTGAGCAAAGTGGGCGTGGTCGGGCATCACTCAAAATGTTTCAAAAGTGGTCCAAGGGCGAAAAATATGACAATTAGGGGCTTTAAAGGTTAATTGATAGGTTTCAAGGCCTTGGCTGAATATTGTGACATGGCTAAATATTGTGACAAAAAAAAAACTACCTACAGACGCAGATCTAGACCTTCAGCGAGGAAACTGTGTCGATAATGAACATTTTACTACCGAGGCTAGGCTAGGCCTAGGCTTTCGATGCAGGCTGTTTCATAATTTTGTGTACTGTATTCTACGAATTAAACGATTCTGCGAGAGTAAAAAAATGGTCATCCCGGCTGGGGAAATTTTTGTTTACACAGCAGGCTTATCT